TTAGTGACTCATTTAAATTAGTTATTAACTTAACGCTTCACTATAATTAGTACAATAAATATCAATACTCATAACATTAAAATATTTCTTGTACAGCAGATATCATCTCAGGATACGACCATTAGATTCAGTCACTGAAATAAACACCGCCGATAATGACTTCGTTGAAATGATAGACTGCCGATAACCACTTCGCCGAATAGCATATTTACAACCATATCGTTACATTTGCGAAACAAAAGTTATCTTTCATGTTGAAATTTAGAAAGATTTGGATTTTATATATTAAAATTAAGCATTCTTACGAAATATTGTTGGATCATAGTTAAGAAAGAAAAACAAAAAAAAACCTTCGATATTCAAATCACAATCACAAATGATTCATAAGTAATAGTGAAAGATTGTTGTATAATGAGCGACTTTTCTTTGAGTATTTAAAAAAAAAGCAATGTTAACTTCAATTAATGAAGGTTTTCATGAAATAATTAATTTGAGACAATTGTTAAATTTATCTATGAAAGTTTGAATATGATGCAAATCGATATATTGTATACAAATTAATTGTCATTATGAACACAATAAAATTACAATATATCTATTATCAACAGTAAACCATTATGACGTCAATAGTTGGAGAAAAAAGAATCTTCAATCTACTATCGTCATAGTATATTTATTTAGTTTTTTGTTCCGCAAGTCGACTTTCCTTTGCTCATGTCTGTATGATTTGATAACAACAGAGACAATGAAACAAAGATAAGATATAAGCTACTCTTTGATTTAAAATAAATATAAAACGCATATGTTATCTTCTACCTACATAATGATATCATTATTGCTTCTCTTATGCTCCACATAGAATTCGTATGGTACAATATGATTCATGCACCTTATTACTTTAAAATGTCTATTATTGTCCTGACGACAGAGTGATATACTGAATGTTTTGTTAAACATAGAATCTTATAGCTTCTATTAGTTGTGGATACGAATGTTTTTTTTTATTCGATTCTTTCTGTTTATGAAACATTCGTCAGCAAAAAAGATATATATCATGTTTATAATTACCATGATTGTTGTCTTAGCAACGTATATTTATATAGTTGTTGATGAGTAAAACAGTATTTAAAAGACACTACAATTTTATTTGTCTCACTAACGTACATCATGTTTAAATTCGGTATGATATAATTTCTTCTATCATGATTCGCTATTAAGTTGTTTATATTATTGTAGCAATTATTTTCGTTATTGGACTACTCATAATTCCTTATATTCACAGTCAAGAAACCATCCTCACTACAGTACGTATCCTTTAATATAGTTCAATTAATAAATTATGTTCTTTTTTTTCCTAAAACAAAGGATGCGGCGTTGTTAACAACACAAATAACAAGGTCAGTGGAAATTATTTATTAAATTGTCACTAGAGAATTTGTGTGAAATAAATAAAATTATTTCAAATTTGACTGTTAATAAGCAGTGGCGAAGCTAGAGAACAGAGGCGGCTCAGCCCCTCCACCTCTCCGGCAGATTTTTGAGTGCCACCTAGTCCAAAATCTTGGTTCGGGCAACTATCGATAAGAGAAAATACTATATACATATTTACTAAATAAAATTAGATTGATTTTATTATTCGAACAAATTTTTACTACAAAAGAAAAACAATATTCCTTCGTCATTGAAACAAACAAAAAATTTTTGAATTTTATAAAATAGAAAATAATATTTATCTATGGTTTTCTTCTTAATATTTTATGATGAATATGAGTATCAGTAGAAAGATTTCACGAGAATAGGATTAATAATTTGAAGACTATTCACAAAATTTTATAGTATGTTAACTGTTGAATTGTTCAAAAAAAAAATTGAACAGTGTTCTTCGTTTTTTTGTTCCCACAATCTTCGTACTGCTTTGGTGATTAGTTATCAATAAAAATATATTAGTCGCATATTCAACAATTCTTTACTTTTAGCACTACAATTACATCACTGTTAACATTACCAGAATCGTCGACTGTCAAAGATGCCACAACAACAGTGCTTGATATCCAGACAAATAGTGAGGTATAGTTCATCTAATATTACGAATAGTTTGTTGATATATTCCGTATATTTTCTTCACATGAATAATATGATAGATATTATTCCAATTGTAATTAATAGAATTCTAAATTTGTCTCGAGTTATTAAAAGTAAAAGTTAAACTTGTATTCTATCAAAAACACAAACTTATAAAAATAATGAAAAAATATTCTTACAAATTATGATTTGTATTTCTAGT